GTGCCGCCGGTGGCCCCGCAGCTCCTCACGGGAGCCCAGCAGCCTGTGGATGGGGCGGGTGGCTCCGGTGGAGCCGCGTGGCCGGGTCCAGGGGCACGACTGGGGGGTGACAACCCACGCCAGACACCTGGGAAAGGCCAGAGGCGACGAGGGGGTGAGGCAGCACCCACCCCACGCTCCCTCCCGCAGCTCAGGGCTGCCCTGCCCCAGCACTCCCGGCCCCACACTTACCGGCCGCCCCTCAGATGAGCTGCACCGCTCCAGAGGCCACCAGCGGGGCGATGGTCTTGTACCGGATGAGATGCTGCGAGCCCTCCTCCAGGTCGATGGTGTACTCTCTGCCAGGGACAGACACGAGTTCAGCTGCCTCTGCTCTTTCGTTTTAACCGCTGTTGTTAGTGTTACAACACTAACACCACCCGGGAAGCACCACCTACCTCTGCTCATCCGTCTCTGGCTCGACCAGGATGTTCTCCTGCCGCTCCAACACCCTCAGGAACACAAAGGAGTCCAGGTTGGGCTTTGGAACTGCAGACAACGGATTGAGAGCACACACTCAGCATTCGCAGGAGGGACTGCAAAGTCATGGCCAGGAAAGGGAACGCTCGACACTTCTGATCAGATGTCCCCAGAGGTTTCCCCACACCCCTGCTGCTAGTGTTCAGATTACCCTGGAGTCTGCAGGTACTCACCTGACTTTAGGAGAGACACTTTCTGCAGGTTGGGTGGCATGTGTTTCAGGGCCACGTTTCTCAGATACGTCTCTGTGTTTGCCATGTACCTGAAACAAATCACCAGAGCGTTTACTGGTCAAATCAAACACAGATTTTCAGGGAGAGGATTGACTCCAAACACCAGCAAGTGACATCTCCCAGTCCCACAGGCACAGCCAGAGACAAGCCAAATGGCTTCCCTGCTAACTGGCGCAGAGTTACCAGAGCTATTTTATTTCAGCCCCTTCCTTGTCCCTAAGGAAACCTCCTGGTAAAACCTCTGATTCTTCCTGCAAACTTGTCTAAGGCCACCAGGGTCAACAACTGTTCAGTGTAACACACGGGCGAGTTCTATAACCTATAAAAGGGGAGGGAGATACAAATAAAATATACTCACTCTTTGGCAAAAGCAAACTCCTCTGGTGACAGGATGGAAGGTTCCCCCTCAGCTCGAGACTTCTCCTTTTCCAGGACGTGGGGGAAAAACTTCTCAATCTATTGGAACAAAATGCCACAGACTGAATCAGACCCCTCCCAGCAGTTCAGTGCCTGCAACCCCCGCTCTCCAGGGGCCTCCCCTGCACGCAGCAGTCCACCCCCATACAACTGTATGCAGCAGCCGCAGGCCTGCCCAATTATCTGCACCCAAATTAACAGTGACACAGTCAGCTGGGGTCTCCACGCTGCACAACCACACGTGTATGTGGCAGGACCCAGGTGGAACACACAAGCATTCAACTGTGCTGTCCTGGGCTTAGATGGGGTAAGAAAGCACTCCCAGCAGTGCTGTGATTCTCCATCACAACAGAACGGTGTGTCCAAGGAAGAAACTAATACCTTTGGGCTGCAGTTTGCAGGACACAGAGAGAGCATGCTTTAACCAAGTGCCTTGCTGAAGCAGGAGGCATTACATGGGTAAAAATAACTCCTGAAGTCACCCTTTTTTATCCTGTTAAAGTGTTACCTTCACCAGCCTACATCGCAAGTAGCTACTGAGCACGTAGCGGATCCTTTCAATCTCCATGCGGTGAACGCTGACCTTCAAGTCTCCCCTCTTTGCCCGTTTCAGGTTTGCCTCCTGCAGTGCAAGGCGAGGAAAAATTAAATGGTTGAAATGTCAAACAACAAGAAACAGAGAGGAAGATGGGTTTTGTACGGAGGACCCACAAAACCAGAGCGTGGCTGCTTTTGGTGACACAAAGCACCTTTGGGGTTTTCCTGGGGGTATCTCCCACTCCCCTCTCCAAGACCAGCTCAAAGAAGTTACTCAGAACAGACTTATCTCAGGAACAGAGCAGCAGACAATGCTGGCAATCCCAGAGGGACCCAGGCACCTGCCTGCCTGTGCCACCACCTTAGC